GTCTTTTATTTGTAAGAAAAGTGATGGCCACTCCAGGGAAAACATTTGAGATTGTCTCTGCTCAGAAGTGGAAATTAGTGTTCCTGTGTCCTCAGCATGACCCCACACAGCTGTCTGGACTACAAAGAACTACATCCTGAAACAATCAAACAAAAGATGTCTGCAAATTTTATGTTGGTCCTGCAGACACTTATTTGGCTCATTTACTCGGTAGTCTTTCCTTGTATGCCCTGTGGGGAAAATTCGCATAGAAAAAGAAACTTTGATATCCAGAGGTAACCTTCCTGTCACCAAGCCAAGCTAATCTGATGCATGTCCCAAGGTCTGATTGTTTGTTAATGAACAGCTGCAGAATTTGTGTGCGGTCGTACGCTGGCAGCTGCTGGTGTCACTATCGAAGGGGAATGAGAATCTCTGGCTTTAAGATGGTGGTAGGGTGTCTGTGGTTGACCGCAGCTGTTGGCAAAGACTTCAGCATAAGTCCGGAATTACTTTCTTGGTCATTTTGAGAACTGTATAGTAAGAGGTAGATAAATTGCATTCTATTAAAAGCTAAATAGATGATGTTTTAGTCATTCATAGTACCGCATGAGGAATATTTGATGTGGATATGATTTAGCATGCAAGACTGTAACAACAATGTAACTTTCACACTATTTTTAGTCTTCTTTTTTTCTATTTCAGTAACTTTTTAATGCCATCAAACCTCATACTTTTCCCGGTTCTTCCATAATTTAATTGACTTTTTTTGTTGTTGTTGAAGATGTAGTACACTTCACAACACTAATTTGACTTGTACAGAACATGGCAGTTTCAGGTCTCTCTGACTTGATTTAGCTCTGCATCCACAGACTCAGGTAAAATGTCTTGACTGGTCTATTCACTTCAAAGCAACCAAGACCCATCCAGGGACTTTATTCAGATTTGGGCCCAAACTGCTCAGTCTAATGAAGTAATATTGGATCAGGTCTAATTACCCTTAGATCTACTGTATTTAGGTCAGATCTGACTGTACTCTTTAGGTCAGGTATCTCTGTTTCATTAATGAATTTATGCACATCAGGTTACCTGTAATGGCTACCCCAGATGGTTATACCTTGTATTTGTTTTCCTTCTGACACAGAGACAAGTGTGATCCCTGATGATTGCTGTTTAACTTTATACTGTAAATATATACTATGATATATGTTTTAGTGAGGCTGTCCTCCTTGAGCAGTTATTGTTATTACCCCTTTAAAAAGGTAGGAGGTCATTGGAGGACATTGTCTTAGTACACAGATTGCCAATTGGCAGCCTGCTGGCCACATCTGGCCTACCAAAGCTTTCCAGTTGTCTCACAATATATTAAAGAAATATATATATATATTGGGGGGTAATTGGATAATTCATTCCAAAACCCAAAAAACAGAGATGATAATGATTTACTGACCTCAAATACTGTATGTGCATTCAACCTGTGGGTTCTAAAGACTTTACAAATCCATTTGTCAGCTGATTATTACTATAGATAATTACACACATCATTGTTTTTTTAGAAAAAAAAGCAGTCTAAATATTTTCACTCATGAGGTGACCAGCTATATTGACTGAAAGCACCAACTCATAATTTATTTGCATTCTTTTCATGAATATGCAGGGTGTTGGTGCCTAAAGCAAAACAAAATATTACCTTTTTCCCAGTAATTGGGATATCTACTAGTGTTGTCACGTCACTGTGAGGAAGCTGCCAGTAAATAGTATTGCACATTTACATTCCACTGTTGTCTCTGTTAATGTATATGACATGCCCAGTTGGATCAGTCAGTGTATATTATAGCAACCTTATTGTTTAAGTCCCATAAAACATTTTCTGTCACAGTTTGAGGTCTCAGACTTTAACATAGCCAAAGTCTCTTGTGCTTTTCTAATAGCGTGTATCTGGAGGCAGCTGTATTAAGCAATTTATTTGAATAACATAACCATATATATTATATGACTAAATTAGAAGAAGCTAGACACTCTAGATGAATCTGTTTATAATTTGCCTTAGTGCTGATTTAGAGAGTTTGAAGTTTGACCACTTGTTGCATTGTACAGTATATCAAAGTCTCGATATGAGGAGGGACCCACTGACATGGAAAAGTCAGACCGTGCCCAAAACTGTGGCTACCAAATGTCTTTTGCAGACAGAGAATGGGACAAAGAAAGGGCAAAAACCAGGGTTAATATGGGTTTAGGTTTCTGACATAGATAGGGTTAAAAGCAGCCAATTCAGATGTAGCATTGTTCCTTCTGCTAGTGTCTCAAGTGGCTAAAGCTAACCCATTTATTTAGGTAACATTAATGACCTAGCATGATCATGATTTTACATTTGTATTGAATTAATATGATTTTAATTTGGGTGCAAGCAGGAGGTGTGTGTGTTCACAAACTATCATCTCGTTTTTAGGTGAAGGTTCTTGGGTTTTATCGTTCTGAAATAATTACAGACTATTTGGAGTTATGATGGGTGCAAAACTAATCTACAGTAGAGGTACCCAAGATTAAACATTAAATGGCTGGAAATGAGCATGCCATGGGCCCTTTAAATAAATTTATGTTGATGCTATTCTGTCATACATTTAAATTTTATGTTATTATGGAAGTTATAACAATTTCTTACTATTGGTGTTTGATGACATTAGACGACAAAAGAAATCTGAATATTTTAGGCTTAATAATAATAATAATAATCATAATAATCATAATAATTTCTTTGGGTGAAACATATGTAGCATGCAACATGTGAAACACTCAAAAATGCACACTTTAGTACAGACACATTCCATGAGTACAACAACAGTCATGTTATACTCCTCTGCAAGTGTTTTCTCATCCACTCATCAAAACAGAACAGACAGAGTGTCCTTTAAGCTGTAGAAAGGTATTAAAGTGAAACAACACACAAACATGTTGAGATTTATGACAGAACTGTAGCTTAACCACAGATACTATTAGTATTATTCCATCTAAATGTTTGGATCACTTTTATTGCAGTGATTTAATACATATCTGCACATGGTGTGGATGAAGGCCACACATCAATTAACATTTTCCTAAATTAAATTGTATACAGTTTATGGAATTTAATTTCACAATGCATTTACATGCATTATTAACCAGGTCAGTACTGATGGTTTTTTCTTTGATGTAAAAGCAATTCATTTTACTCTGCTAACATACTGTAATTTGGTTTGTTGATAACATTTGATTCCTGTGTTTTGCTGAGGCTTTTGTTTACATGTAGATGATGAGCTTCATGACAAAGACCCAAAAGCCAAATGACTTGGCTTGGCCATATAAAAGACCAGGTGCATCTGCTGCCCTGAAAATGCCATATGCAGTCTGTGAACAAAACAAACAAATGGTCACTGAGTCCAGTTCAGTGGGATTAGGCCCAGAAAATCCACTCTGCAAATTAATTACAGCTTGGACCAAATGGAGTCCAGAAGGTGCTTTGGTTTTCTGAGAAAGGGCTTAGCTGCCCTCCACGGTTGAAAGGACCCATGGATATACCAGCCTCCTTTATGCCTTATGGCCACAGGGGACAATAAATCTCTAACAAAAAAAAAAAAAACACTTTCTTAACACATTCAGTTAGAGAACAAACTAAGTCAGGGCCAATGAGAAGTTTTGTAACATTTCTTCACTTCCCCATGGGCTGCATTTTGAGGGATTTGAGTTTTACATGTGCTGCAGTTTATTTGGCATTATCTATGTACGTAGGCTTGTTAAGTAGAGGGACCATTTAACAGCATGTGTCAAAATGGGACCAAGACTCTCCCAGTTGGGTGGAAGCAACTGGTTGCTTTCAGATGACAGATGGTATCATACTAGACAGCCGTCTATTTCCCAACACCGATCATTGTGCGTAATCTGAGCTGTAACGCCTCTGCTTCACTGGCATGCAGTTATATGTAGAATTTTTCAGAGCTGTCCGTTTTCCCCAGTGAGATTCTGAATGGAGACCCCATTGTATTCTGTACTGATCTTGAACCAGGCCCACTTACATCCCCTATGGCAGCTGAGGTTTCTCAGATATAATGGAAACAGAGAGAGAATTTTATCTTCTCTCAGAGGATTCATCTTTCTGCCTCCGTAGAAATCAGAACTGTTTGTTCATATTTGAAGCAGCCAGAGAAAAGGAGAGGAAATTGCTGCTGACTTGGATTAGATGCATAGAATGTGGGTTACTGTGCTGTTACTACCAACAGGACTGACTCTCCTGTCTTCAGATGACACTTAGATATAACACCTAAATTTACTGTAAACCCCCGACCGCTCATTGAGATTCTCACTGGGTTTCTCTGTTAATGGTAGGTGATTTACTATAAACCACTTCTTTTAGAAACAACTGCTGATGCTTGTGTTTCTGGGCAAAATTTGTTAGCTTTTTAAATTTGTTTTAAAATTGCATCGTATCTTGTTGAAAAATGAACTCTGCACTAACTGTATGTATGTTGGGTAATATATAGACCAAAAGAATTTTGATCCTGACACACTGGAGACAAATTCGGAACTGTATTTAGACTTTTGTGTAGTGAAAAAAGTACAGAAAATATAACTGTTATATGACAATTAGACATTACCAATCAGAGGTTTGGACACACTTTCCTATTCAGTTCAATGGGAAAGTGTGTCCACACTTTTGACCAGTATTGCAGCAGTTGAATGAATGCCTCAGTATTTAAAATAAAAGCTTTTTAATACAATTTTTTTTGTTCACATAAATTCAGTTAATTTGTGATTCTTTGTTGAATTTTCAAGAAAAAAATCTAAATAATTATATGTTATAGACAAATCATATTAATATTTCAAAGTAAAATGACCAGAGAGACGACATTGTCCATGTTGTGGCAGCATACTGTTAATATTGCAGAGACAGTTTGATGGTACACATTTTTAAATGTCATCACTGGTGGATGTCATGTTTTAGTGTCAGTGCTCATGTTAAATTAATCTCTCTGTGACCTAACCCACAGTGAAGCCCCTCCCTCTGTCTCCACTGGAAGCCCAGTCATCAATGCCAGTGGGCAGTGCAGGCGAACGACAAGCCTTAGAGCTGCGGGTCCGGGCGGTGGAGGAGGAGAACCGGGCACTGCGCCGGGAGCTTAGCCGGCCACCTAAAAGCCCATCAGCACGCCTTCCAAACAGTGGTCACCATGGCAACCAAAGCCGAACCCATTCAGAGGAGGGCACAGGCGACAATGAGGGCCAGAAAGCTGCTGTTGTGGGCAATAGCTCAGACTGTGTGCAGCAGCCTGTGGTGGATAAATGTGAGGTGAGACATGTTTAAATACAATTGTCATAGCAATTTCAGAAACAATCCTATTTTGCCATAAGTGCAAAATGTTCCAGTAGTAAAAGACCATTCAGTCTTTTTGTGCTGTAGTGTAGTATGACCTTGAAGGTTGTTTCCCAGAAGCAGAGTGCCATTAGCACATTGTGGGACCATATTATAGCCTGGCTTTAGCCTCCTATTAGCCTAATCCTTCAGCAGCAGTGGTGCTGGTTTGCTGCTAGAATATGGCTCTTTGTCAGGAGGCTGGATAATGTGAGAGCTTTAACAAGGCCGTGCTGTGATCTCCGCACTGATAGCATCTCACAGCACATCATCTTTTAGCTCAGTGGGAGTTTGGATAAGTGGAACAGCCTCATTCGTATGTTCTGGTAAAGAGTCAGGATCTGGGCTCAATACACATTTTTCAAAAATATTTTAATAATCAAATTGTCAAGGTAATGTTTCTAGAATCTGGGCCCTGTTTTGTAAGATTATTTTGAGTTAAATATGCATTTGAGACCAGTAGAGTTATTTGAGATGTTAAAAATCACATAATGATATATTGATAGTATTTGTTTTTATGTAGACGTATAATATAGACAGACATTCTGATAAGTGGTAATAAATTTACATCTTAAATATTTGTGACTAATATATGCACTGAACAAGGCATATATTTCTTTTTACTGCAACACAAAACGTAAGATGGTAAATGGATAGGACATGGAAGATGAAACAATACCTATAGAACATTTCCAAAAAACATAAGGCTGTAAGCATGTATAATAAGATTACTAAAGGTTTTTATGTGATGCGTGTTGGCTGTGTTCAGTTCTATTCAGTCTGCAAACAAGAACTACTACTGCCACAAGTACTCACTAAAGAACTGACAGTGGATAAATCTTCCACTGAAAATAGTCCCCAGCCAATGTCCTGTCTCCTCCTATTTGAGTAATGTTTGTTATAAACTACAGTCATCACCAGTTTTAAGAAATTACTGAGCTTTTTTTCTTTATGTCATGGTTCGGAGGGTCTTTTTTAGTATTATTATTGTGAGGCAGACTAAAAACTGCTGATATAGGGGTTTTCACAGAATTTGTTGACAGTAAAAAAAAAAAAGTATGGAGTAACACTGTGCTAATATTTTTGACTGTGGATTTTATGATTCATCTACTTTGATAAATTAGAATATGATCCGTCAAGCATCCATCAGCTGCTGAATCAGACGCGTTCTGATCAATCTCCTTTTATTATCAATGTCATTGCTTGATGATGGTTTAAGCAGTCTTCTCACACTCCTTTCAGTGAGGTGTAGTCCAATTGCTTGTTTCCCCTTTGCTTAATACATCTAATGCAGTATATTATATGTTAATTAAATATATTTCAGGCAAGGCAGGGCCCCTCCACTATAACACCCTGTCAGAAACAGTGAAATGATGTGAGTGGAGCACAGTGCCCAGTAAAATAGTCTAAGCATTTTCTTTAAAGAGGAACTCCAAAGTTTTACCCACTTTGTTTCAAGGTGTAGGAGTACTACATCATCTCCAGAGGAAGCTGTGTGAAGTCTGGTATGTTTTATATGTTTTCAAGTGATGTCAGTTGGGCCTGAAGACTACAAGTTTAAAATATTTCAGAGACATCTGGGAGTCTCTGACCAAACTATCAACAGTCAAGTGGCATTGTGGGTAATGTAGGTGCAATGTTTTGACAAGGAAGAAAAATGCATGGAAAAAAAAACAATTTTTGATCCTTTAAAAAAAAACCCACCAGTCTAACAGGGTAACAATACCAAATTGGTGCAGTACTTTTTAAATGAACCAAAACAGTTTGAGTAGTAATTACACGCATTTAATAATAGAATAGAAGAAGGACTTTAGATACTTGTTTTGTGAGGGAAGCACTTAATTAAATCATAGATGGGAATTTATTTTAATAAAAGTGGGGCTATCAAGTTAATGCATAACAGTGTTTTCAATAATGACAATGTTTACTGACAATAAGAGAACAGCAGTGACAGTTCTTTACACTTTTATTTAATGTAACTTTTGCATAAAGATTACATATATGCTTATTATAAGGGACACAATGTTCCTTTCTTGACAAATCGGACACATGCCTGATATACAATTATCAGATATTTTAGATAGCAAGTGGGAAGTACTAGGATAAAAATACAATTGAACAAAAAATAGAGGGAAAAGTACTCCACAGATTTGGTAAACCTGCTGTAAGTGCAGTATTATTGGTATGATGAAGCAACTTCATATTACATTCTCATATCTGTTTATAGCACAGGCTAAAAATGCACCAAGAATAATAATTTCAGCTTCAGAGCTGAATCTCCTCCAAAACAGAGATTCACACTTTCTCAGTGGCAGGTGTGAGATTTGTGTGCAGTAGTCTGACAAAGGATATGCCCTCAGATGGTTTCATATCAGCACCCTCTACTTTCCTCCCACATCATCTGCCACTCACATGAAGTTCTTAGCTGCAGCCAGGCACTGTTCAGAAGGCAGCCGACTGCAGGGAACGCAGAACTCCTCCAGGGTTGGAGGAGGTGAAATCTGAGGAGGGCATTCTGTAGCACCCTTCCAGCGAGGCTCGAACATGACCCCGGCTCATTTAATGGGTTAGCCTGCAGAGAAAATACTGTAGGTGCTCTGAGTGGGGTTTTGACATGTCAAGCTGGCACGAGGGTAAGACATTTGGTGCTGCAATTGGAGCCATAACCCAAGGCTCTGAAGGAGGTGGAAGGTCCAGCATAATATTTACATACTGTTTAAAAGTCAGTTAAAGAAAATGGATTCTTCTAGACACAAGTGTATGTCCAATAGTTGCCTGCTAATAGCTAATTTTGCATCATTTTAATGGTGACAATTTGTAAAAGAAAAAAGATAAAGCAGGACAGAAGTTGTAAGATTATGATTTCTTTGCAACATTATACCTTACTTCCTGTTAACATCCAACAAACATTATTAACAGATAATAGAGTATAATTATCACCAGAGTAAAACAAAGACTAATAGTAACAGAATCTATAATATGAACTTTTTATGTTGCACTGTCAATATTCATTTACATGACCAAGACTCAGAATGTACCAAAAACATGGTTCTTATATTTCTGGAAACTTTTGACAGTCTCCTTTATAGTGATATTTACCCTGTGTTGTGTCATATGTGGGGCACAGGTGTCTAGATTCTAACTGAATGAAGATCACATAGTCAGACTGTGAAAACCCCTGCTCTAACAGTTTATAAAATCTTATTTTCAAAAGGTTTTAAATACATAATTTTAAAAAAGGAACCTAGGAAATTGTTAATAGTTGTCCTAAATGTAATAAATACTAAAGGTGTTGTCATAACTGTCCTTTGTAAAGTTCCACTAGATCTTGCTATGCTCCATTCCTTGGTCATTTCCACTTTTAATTTCACAAGTAAATGGTTCAGATAACTGTTATGATAAAAGCTATGAAAGTAAGTAATGATAATAACTAATATGTATAAAAAAAAAAAAAAAAAAACTATGGAAAAATGCCTTAAGGTAGTTTTTTCCAGCAATTATCTCATTTTAGTTAACTGTTAGTTATTATTGGTCAGTTACACTCCAGTTATTAGTTGGTTAATAAACTGTTGTCAGGAAGAATATCTACAAACCTTTTATTTCTACTCAGTAATTTCAATTCTGTCAGTATTTTTCTACCCTGTGTCAGAAAGAATTTCTCTCTTTCTAACATCTCCTTCACAGACCATCCATGTGGCCATTGTATGTGCCGGTTACAACGCCAGCCGAGACGTGGTGACACTGGTTAAATCCGTCCTTTTCCACAGGTACAGCAACGCTCTTGTTTTTCTTTTTCTCTTTCTCACACCAACCCTATCTCCTAGCATTTTAATTTATACACAAGTAATTTGCAACAGAAAATAAGTTCTGGAGGTAATACCGGCAGGATTTGGTTTTCTTGTAGCATATTCAGGAAATGATGGTGATTCATGTATCCGGAAAGTAGTTAAAATGTTGACACTGAATGTTGTTACCAACATGTTCACTGACTGTGTTTGACTTATTTAGTCCAACCTATCTGGTTAGCATAATTAAACTTTTTCATGGTTATGTTTAGGCTCCAGTAAAAAGGGGAAAACAAAAAGCAATGCTATGCAAACCTCTGGTGGATTTTTAATGCTCTGTCTCTACTCAAAATCAAATGTAGTTTTCCTTGGTAGAGACAAAAACATAGTAACTATCTTGTCTTTTATCACTGACCAATTCTAGAATTTTTGTAAATAATAGAGATTCAGTCATTTGTTTTTCCCACTGTTTTTTTTCATAACCTCTTTGAAAAAAGTGATTCTCCATCGCTGCAGCTTTCTGATCAAAATCATCTTCATTGTCACAAATTTTCCTCAGTCTTTGAAATTTTATATGGTATATTCTCTTTAAGGTGTTTGGGATGGCATCTTTCAGCATGAAGAATAATACTATGGGCTGTGGGATTTCTATATAGTAATATAGAAATAGTAGAAATAGCTTCTAATAGTAGAAACCTTCTTTAACCTTAGAAATATTTAAGTTCAAAAAGTGAATAAGAGCTGTGCTCTAAATGTATTTTTAATAGACTTATTGTGGTACTGATGAAAAGACAACAAATTTTCTTCTGACCCTGCCCAAATTAATATCACATTGTCAATACATCTTCCCCTATAAATGATCCTATCCTAAAATCGATGTTTAGAAGAATCAGTTATTTTCCAACTTTTCTGCATAAATTGGTCGTGAAATGTGATCTGATCTTCACCAAAGTCACAAATATCTACAGAATATTTCTAAGATGATAAAACACAGTCATAAATTGACATGTCTTTATTGAACACCCCCATTAAAGGTGATGGTGGAAAAAGTAATGGCAACAGTGTTTTAATAACTGGTTGAACACATTCAGGAGGGATTTTGGACCACTCTTCCTGACAGAACTGCTTCAGCTCAGCCATATTCTTAGGACATCTGATGTGAGCGGCTTTCTTGAGGCCATTCCACAGCATCTCTATTGGGTTGAGGTCTGGGTTCTGACTGGGCCACTCCAAATAGCAGATTTTGTGTCTCTGAAGCAATTCTGTAGTGCAAGGGTGCCCAATACGTCGATCGCGATTGACCGGTAGATCGCAAAGGTAGTGTTGGTAGATTGTGTGCCATTCAAAAATAAATTAGATGTATCTGTAAAACACGTGCCAAATGTTAATATGTGAATGGTCAGTGTGACGATTTGCTGTGGCGACCTCTAACAGGAAAAGCAGAAAGTGACAATCATTCATTTATAGCCTATCATCCATCCTCCCTATGTCATTTGCTACTTGATTGACATGCAGGGCAGCCAGTCTGAGATCTTGTCTTTTCTGACACACGAGTCACCAAACATGCACAGTCAACCGCACGAGCTACTGCAAAACTCCAGTGAGCGCACTACCTTGTCAGCCTTGGAATTAATTTCTACTAAAGGGTACAAAATGAGTGGGGGAGCCAAATCAAGTAAGAAACCGGAAACGTATCGAAAACATTCCATGCGGAATGGGAGGAGGACTTTTTTTTTCGCGACGTTATGTTTGAAATGCGTTTGCTTGTTCTACCAATCTACCATCACTATTCCAAAGAAGGGAAATGTGGAGCGGCTCTTTCAGACTGTTCATAAAAACTACGACACTCATTCATATATATAGTGTGTGTGTGTGCGCGCGCGTAGTATTTTTGGTGTAGGTTGATCATTTTGACTTGGTCATTTGAAAAGTAGCTCACAAGGTGAAAAAGTGTGGGCACCCCTGGTGTAGTGGATTTACTTTGATGTGTAGGGTCATTGTCCTGCTGCATCACTCAGCTTGTTCTGAGCTTCACCTCATGGAAAACCACCCTGATATTATCCTGTAGGATACCTTGATAAACTTGGGAATTCATTTTCCCCTCCACAATGGCGAGCGGTCCAGGTCTAGAGGCAGCAAAACAGCCCCAAATCATGATGCTCCCTCCAGCGTACTTCACTGTTGGGATGATGTTTTCATGTTTGTACGCAGATCTCTTTTTACAACTTACGTAGTGCTGTGAGTTCTTCTCAAGCAATTCTACCCTTGTTTCATCTATCCATGGGACATTTTCCCAGTAGTGTTGTGGAGTGTCAAGGTGGTTGTTGGCAAACTTCAAGCATGCTGCGGTGTTGTTTTTGGAGAGCAATAGCTTCCCCCATGGTGTCCTGCCATGGATACCATGCCTGTTCAGTATTTTGTGAATGGTTTACTCATGAACAGAGATGATAACTAACTCCAATGAATCCTTCAAGTCTTTAGTTGTTACTCTATGGTTCCTTTTCACCTCACTGAGCATTCTGCATTGTGTCTCTGGAGTGATCCTGGCTGGGAGCCCGGTTTTGTGGAGAGTAGCCACAGTACCAAATCATTTCTATTTATAGGCAATATGTGTAACTGTAGAATGATGAATGTCTAAAGTCTTTGAGATGACTCTAACTCTTTCGAGCTACATGCAAATCAGCAACTCTTGATCATAGGTCTTCTGAGATCCCTTTTTTGTGAGGTATGGCTCGCATCATCTGATGCTGCTTTGAATAGCACACTGACACTGAGTGTTTTTATACGTCAAGGCAGTTCTAAACCACACGTCCATTCTTTCTTCATTGATTACTTTTTCCACCATCACTTTGTATGTTTAATGGGTGTGTTTAGTAATGGGTGAGTTTAGTGAAAGATCATGACTGTTTGTGTTTTATCAGCTTGGAAATATTGTGTTTGTTGATATTTGTGATTTTGGTGAAGATCAGATCACATTTCATGACCAACTTGTGTAGTAGAAAACCAGGAAATTGCAAACAGTGCCATTACTTTTTCTTGCAACTGTATATACACCTGCATATTAAGGATGATAACATAGCACAAGCTTTGACTTGTCTAAAAAAGTGATCTTGGAAAACAAAATTATTATTATTTAAAGTCATTGCTGTCAGAAATAATATAAATATTAAAAGAGAACAATCCAGGTGTAATCTCCCCCTCAGAAAAAAAAAGATCTTCTAAGCTTCACACCCATTTCCAAAGAGCACAATCTTTCTTTCAAATTGCTTGTATGGCTTTCTTTGGCTTTTTTACTGTGTGTGGTTTGTATTTGCTGTGTTTTACCACAGGTTGGATACATTGTATATAAACAGTACATGGATTTCATGTGCAGCCAATAATTTCGTAATTGTATATTATTTTACATAGATTTGGATGTAATTTCCCCTTCTCTATGGTGTTTTTGTAGCTCCTCTGTAAACTGGTTGTAAACCAAGCGCTTCCAATGCACGAGTGAACACACACCAGTACAGACAGGAGTGCAAGATGATACATGCTGCACATGCTACACTTTTGGTCTGTGCCACTGTGTGTGCGACCTGGACTGTTGTGCCTTTAAATCTGATTGGCACAAAGTCGGATATTTCAGGGTGATCAGCCTGGTCACTGGTCAAGGCAGATCACACTGAAAACTGGCCATTTTTGATCCCTGACGATCAATCGGTGCATCTTTACCCAGAACACATGTACAAGTGGTGAGATAAGTGAAATTACAACCTTGCCAGTGTGCACTTGTTGCCCAACTTGTGGAACTCAGAATGTGTCTGGTGTGTAGAAGAAATGACTACACGTATGAACAACATCAATATTTAATATTCAAATACCTCATTAGATTAGGGCACCAGATGGATATAGTTCTATCAAACTATTAAACAATTATTTAGAGTAATTATATCAGTCTAAATCTGAAAGAAATCAATCCTACCTGTCCAGGGAACCTGCATACTGGAAACAAAAGAGACCCAAAGATGACATAATGAAGCCAGTTATAAGCTAAATAAATTTATTTACAATATGTACACAGGGAAAATGATCGGGATGAGAAATGTAATGCAAATGGTACATTTGTGAACACTCTCAGGAATGAATGACCCAACCGTCTGTTGTTAGCAGTGGTGGATCAGAGCATTCATCAGAGCATTTGTGAAAGCTGTGATGAATGACTGCAACATCTGGGTTGGCGATGGTGGAAGTCAAAAGTTGAGTTAGATTCTAGATCTAAATTCTGGGATCTAATCATGAATAGGGAGAGGGAAAACAACTACTGATTGCTTTAAGTTGTAGACTGTAGTTTGGTAACTAATAGCTAATAACTACGCTGTTCATGAGACATCAGCTAGCCAGAGTGCACTTGGCTGTGAGCAGGAATTAGCCATTTAGATTTGGAGATTCCACATGGCCAGGAGGAGAGAAGCGCTGGTTCGGGGCACTCTGGGCCAGAGTCGAGCAGGATCCGGAGTGCCAAGAGCTGGGTCCGCAGACCCAGTATTCTAACTGGTCAAGGTTCTTATGGCTAAGATAAGGATTTCTGATTGATACTTCAGGCACAGCAGAGAGAAGTTCATATAATCTACAAGTTTGGATCAGAAAAACTTTTGAAAATTAAAATTCTTCCACCATGGCTGGAATACCTAATCTTAAGCAACAAATTGTTTGACAAGAAACATATGTGGATCATTCTGTAGAAATAAAGGAATGGTTAACTTTGTAATTTTGAGAATAAAAGACAATCACTTAACAACACACAATCATTAAAATGAAAAAAATCAAAGAACAATTTCTTATGTAACCTTTCCTGGGTAGGATGAACAAGATTTCTGGTTGATTTGTCAAGCATCTGAAATAAAAAGCATGGATTGGGTTTCATCGAACATCCATGTTATCACATTGTAACTGCAGGTTTTGGAATCGTTTCTAAGGACAAAGTCTTTGCAGTGACTAAAGGCATTTCTTGATCAAAGGAGCGTGTTTATGTGTTTATGTGTAATTATTAATATTCTGAGTCCCCCAGAATAAAACATCACTTCCAAAATGTTTATTTTGGACTTGTGGACACTACAGGTGTCTGTGTAAAAGAAGAAACAACTAATGCTAAACTATTGTGAATGACAAAAAACCACTCATTGCAAGTGAGCAGAGCTGTTAAAGTACATCTCCTGTTGGACCTGATGATGAAAAAGTCAAACCTCCACTGACAATTTCACATTCGAGGACCTTTAAACATTAAATAGGGTGCAGCATGACTTGAAGTGTGGCATGTGCTGTTAGTCTTATGCAAATTTGAATAATGAATGATTTATTATGCGTTTGATATGGAGGATCCATTAATAATCAATCGGAGTGCATTCAGCATCACAGCTTCTAACAGCACTACTTGTTAATTAACTCCAGATTTGCAGGTGAATTAATCATAAGTGCAATTATAATTTCATTTTTTTGTGGATAGAAGCTTTAAGTCCTGCTGGCAGACACACCTTCAGACTGTCTCATTTATTTTCTCTTTTATGACCAAAGACACTTAAGAAGCACAATCACCATCTCTGTTGTTTTATTCTGGCTGATGTAACATATGATTTCTATCAGTTTAAATATATTTTCCTGATGCCACCCTGGGGGTTCATTAAATATGAGAGTCTAACTACTGTTGTGCTTAGTAATCAACTTGCTCGTTTTGATTAAGTGTTAGCGGTTTCAAATAAGAGTCAAATCCTGCTTGGTCTTGCCAGTAAGTGAAGAGAAACTCTTGGAAACCAGCTGAATCAATCTGCATTAAAAATGACACCTGTTTTTCTCAGTCACAGATCAAATCTGAACACACAAATGCCATGCACTTGCTTGTTAGAATCATCTGAGGCTATTCCCTCCATTAATACAACTTCCACTCATGTCAATTTACAGTAGTATGCTTACAAATCATTTAAAAGGCACACTGTAAAACTTCAAATCTGCTTTCATAGTGCTCAAATGTAGTTTGTACATGACCCTGTAGTTGTTATACTGTTCTCTGTCATAAGCACAGGCTGAAGTAACACAATGTTGTTTCAAAGGCTTTTAAAGAGGATGTTGGGTTGGATTTGTTCAATCATGGTGGGCTGGGATTTATTGATACATTCCCTAAACACAAAGTATCATGCAGGGGTGAAATGCAGTACATTGACTTTTGTTATTTGAATTGGTATTGGTTGTTGAATCTTGCCGGCTGGGATTGGCTCCAGCCCCCCCCCCAAAATGAATGAATGAATGAATGGTAGTTGAATCTGTGCACCACTACTCTACATACAGTGGAAGTAACTTCCTCTATGCGTGAAGGCGAATGGTCTGGTTCAGGATATGGTTCACTACTCTCTTAGCAAATGGTAGCACAATTAATTTTAATCTGTGTTCACTCTGAAAGTCTTTATTAAAATAATTTAACAATATTGTTTTATGAAGATTAGATCGCCAGCCAGCCCTGTAATCAGGATGTATTTGACATCATTTATATTTGTACGGCTGTGCGTGACAGCTTGTATGAAACCAGAGTTCTGATACGTTTTGACAGCTTCCAGCCTCCAGTACTTATTGAGCAAGTGCAGCTGACACTTTCATTTCCAAAGTCATTCAGTACAAGACACCCCAGGGGGGCTTCCATCCTCAGTTCAGTGTCACTGTCTTTTGACCTGATTTGAACAAGTCCTCCAGCTAAAAGGCTGTATGTCCTTAGAAGCCAACCCAAAGGACCCTTTCAGTGCCACACTTACAAATTGTCATTGAAACAACCATAAACACATGGTTGGGATGATCTTATTATTATTATTATTGTTTTTTTGTTTTTTTTTTTGCAAGCTGACAGGCTCGATTTCAATGTCCTGAATACTTATTTTGCACACGCCACATCCTGCTGTGTGTATGAGCTGTGAGATACAGAGTGTGCAGTCTTTTCTGAATGAAGCTTTGGCCATCCTGACTCATGAATCATCTATTGTGTTGTGCTGTAGCTGCCGTTATCAAACTCAGGGCTGGCTGCACACATGCATCCTCAAACTATGTACTGTATATTATTAACACTGACTAAACATTTTCTTCTTAAGGCCCAATTACTCACTTGTTCTGGAGCAGGAGCTAAAACTGTACATTAGGGTCACAGTTGGAGTGGAGGTTAGGGCTTTTCTTTTGTGAAAATGTGCATATGATATATTCGTTGGGCATATGATGCCTCTCGAGAATCAAAGCAAAATAAATTGCAAGAAATGGGAGTTGATAGGAATATGGCTGGAGCCATCATATTTGGTTTCCACCAAGTCAAGGCTGGACACTGTTTAAACATGTTCAGTATGATGGCCAAAAATATGTAGTAACCTCTTCTTTTTTTTTTAACAGAGCACTTTTTATATAACAAAAGAAGCTTACTGAATATTCTCAAATAAGAAATGTACTCTCAATACATCAGTTATATCAAAATTTTGCTCAAATTAAATGTGCATTGACAAAATTCTGATTTAAATCAGGAAATATCTGATCAAAAAATAAATAAAACAAATTTGACCAGGCAATTAATTAAAGCTTCTGTACTTGATAGTTTGTGCTTTGTATTTCCATATGTATCAGAAATGTATTAATGTTTGATACATAGCTGAAGTCTTAGTCCATTTTTACTAATCTTGGGGGTAATATTTGCCCACAGAAACTAAATGTATTAAGCCATCTGAGGATCTGAAGAAGCTTTGTCAAGTCTGAGAAAATTAGCACAAATTCTTAATGGACAAATAGGGGCCATGGGTTGCACAGATGTGGATGCTAACCAAGAAGGGATGGTGCAAGGAAGCACTTGCATAAAGTGACATGTAGGATCCAGTGTTCCTGGAGCTTGACCCACACTAGGAACTACAAGTCAGGATATCTCCACTGTTGCTTTTGACACTTCTATTTTTATGTGGCTTAGAAAAGTCTTCCAGTTTTCTTTTGCAAGAGTTCTGCAGTTGTTCAGTATTATGCTTAAATAAAAGTTGGGCATTATTCTGTTTTTCTTGTCAACAAATCCTAAATGCAAACCGAAAACAACAGTGTGCTGTAGGAAAGATGTTTTGACAGGTCTGCTTGTTCTCCCAATATACTGAAGCCCACATGGGCATGAGAAAAGGTAAATAACACACTGACACTTCATAATGTTGTAGATTTTGCTGGTATTATGACTGGGGAAGTTATTTATAATAATTCTAGTACAATATTTTGTCTGCCATGCCATGCAACACAGGTCATACAACTGTGTCAGGAAAAGAATCTGGTCATTCCATCTAAATTACTCTGGGTGGAGACATGAGAACTGAAAAATGTGCACATCAACGATAATACCGTACATTCCTTGCTCTGAAGTGAGAGAAAACAGGAGGGCTGGAGAACAGTACTTTACCTACATAAAGAACATCCCGGTGTTTTTTTTTTTTAAACAATTTTCACAGTGCCGTTACTAACAGGAGAGTAGGTGGTCACACAAGCATGAATAACCCCTAGTGGATTTACGATTCTTCACTCAGGTAATATCCATTTTACTGATTTTCTCAAGGTTTGAATCGAGCCAGCTGGTCAAACTGACTTTCTCCTGGGACATTTTGTACATTTTCTGAGCCTCTAGTTCAAAATATTTTTGTGGAACAGATAAGTTTTTAATCACAAAAGCTCAGAGTACGGAAGGCCTTTCTTCAGCGAAACAGCATGAAAACTTGGGACATGAAGAATACTGTTCTTGTCTGTGGGTTTTGTGTTAGCATCTATCCACACTGAATATACCAAAAAAGGAAACCTTTACCATATTATTCAAACATTTTGGGTATTCAGAGAGGGTTGAATGAATCTTGATACATGAGAAAACAACAGCCTAAACAATACCCTCTATGAGCAGATAATGTACTGCATGATCAGATATTTTGGATGGAAAAAAACATAGTGTCTGTGAAAGTTTTACTGATACATTCAATATCAATATATTTCCAATTTGTCTGATTCATATGTTATTTGGTCTTATTCTCATCATATTAAAAGAAAATTACATGCACTTGGAATTAGATTCCCTTCACAATGCATTTGCTGTTGCATGTTAGTTGCATATGTATGATTTCTAGGATACAAGGTTGGTTGTTTCTCAGAATGGTTTCACTTTCCAGTTAATCCAAACATTGATCAACCCTATTTCCTGGGTTTTTAGTTGAATCGTAGCGGAAACCTCCCAGTATGAATGTGTTGCACAGTGTTTTGGTGAAAGAACATTGAGTTTATTCAAGCTTGTGTCTGTGTGTCCACAGACGGAACCCCCTACATTTCCATTTCATCACAGATGCCATTGCTCAGCAGATCCTGTCCTCTCTGTTCCATACCTGGATGGTTCCTGCTGTCAGGGTTGACTTCTATGATGCAGATGAGCTGAAGGTGAACAACATCTCACACTCTTCACCTCACTAACAGATAGCTTCCCTCAGAGATGCATTCAACTAGACCTAATATCCTGTGGTGTTTGTTGATCTCTCTACTACATGCTTTGTTTTATCTAAGAAGTTATGGGCTCTGTAAACCATCTTTAAGAATGTTGCTATGTAAAATACACATTTCTAATATTCTGTCAGTTTAACAGCAAATGATCCCACCCTTCTTTGGTGTGTTTCAGTCTGAGGTGTCATGGATCCCTAACAAACATTACTCTGGGATTTATGGTCTGATGAAACTGGTGCTCACCAAGACACTGCCACCTGACCTGCAGAGAGTCATTGTCCTGGACACAGACATCACCTTTGCCACTGACATTGCTGAACTCTGGGCTGTATTCCACAAGTTCAAAGGTAATAAGGCTTCTAACTCTTAAGTTGACTATCTATACATTAATATTTAAATAAGAAGGCTGTTTTTTGGTAAAAGGTCTTATACTTGTATAGCACTTTTCTATGCATTACAGCACACTTAAAGCACTTTCACTCTATTTGACCATTCATCCATTCGCACTCCCAAACTGGCTATATCACCATGGGTAACTGGGGGTTCAGAGTCTTGCTCAAGGACACTTTGACATGTCGATTGGAAAAGCCGGGAATTGAACCACCAACCTTCGGTTAAGGAGACGATCCACTCTACCTCCTGAGCCACAGCTAATTGCACTGTAATTTTATTTCATGAAAACCTTCTGAAACCACATCTTTGTTGGTGTCACACTGTGCAGCCATTCTGTCCACTGTCTGTATGTACACCAGCCATGTGAATGAAAAAGTGCATGATGTAAGTTTAGTCTTCAAGGAGGAGGCCTTTATATTTTGGCCCTGTGACCAAAACAGTGGAAATACCTGTGAACATGGTGCAACCCGACTAGAGCTGACATGTCTGTTTCCTTAAAGGCTGCTCATTCTTTAACACTTTAAATTGTTTGATGTTAAAGAACAGGTTAGTTAACTTTGTAGCAAGATAAAAATGCAGCTTCAGTGAGAAAATTTTCTGCTGGTCAGTTTTAATCAGTATAACTTTACATACTTGTGTAAATATTTATTTATCTTTTGGTTAAAACAAAACCAACAGACAAAACACTGGGTCTGATCATTTTTGACTGGGGCTAGTCATTATTGAGGTATATATTGTGGACTAACCCAGCCTTAATTTTGTTAATGAAATGATGATGAAAAATATTCGTTGAGAATAATGTTGCTTTCATCAACGAAAATTATGACTAAATATTGTCGTCAATGAACCTTTATCAACGTGATGAAAATGAGACGACGCGCAACGTAAATGCTGGTCATGTGACGATGACTATAATTAAATGTATAATGAAATATTGTTGATGAAAACAACGAGACTAAATGTGGTTTACAAAATAAAAACTATGCTAAAATGTCTCTTCATTTTTGTAGACCAAAACGAGACAAAATATAACGGTATTTCATCTCGTTCAGTCACGTTATTATTATTATTTTGCAGTATTTCTGTTTCCTATGTCTCACTTCAGGGGCTGCATCAGGTCGCACTGCGCAGACGCAGGCAACATCACCTCTTTAAGCCCCACTTGCGGGATTATTTAGAAGGCGACAACAAAGTTATGCGTGACACAGAGAAAGGGACCAATGGCCGGTCAGCAAGGGTTCGTCTTTGGGAGAAAAAGAAGAAACGACATTTGGAAAAAATTCCATTACATAGAAGTGGAAAAAAAAACAATGTGTTGTGAGAAAAGATGAGGAGAAATGTGGCCACAAAATCTACTTATACTATATTGACTGGGTTAAATAGAATTGCATTACTAAAAAGAGACTAAAATACAATTTTCATTGACTAAAACTAGACTAAATGTCATCAGTTTTCATTGACTAAAACTAGATGAAACACTTTAGTCTTATTTTAGTCAGAATTATCCATGACTATCATGGATAATTCAGACTAAAATAAGACTAAAATGCTCAGACTTTTAGTTGACTGAAACTTAACTAGATTAAAAAGAGTATGAACGTGACTAAAACTAATAAAAACTAAAATGACAGCTTCACACAAAGTAAACACTCCCATTAAAGAGCTATTTCTTGATTTGCATGGGATCACCATTAGATGGTGCTTTGTTCACAAAAACACAAACCAGAGCGTGATTGCCTGAAGTAAAACTAAAATTAAAACAGGCCGCCAAAAACAACTGTAGTTGACAACCTATTTTTCAGGATGAAAATGAAACAAAAACTAAATAAAAGTAACATTTGATAACGAGGACTATAACTAAATATTTTACATTTTTCATCAACAAATAAAGAGTAAACAATGTGAAAGATGGACAAATGGACATGAAGTTAATGACCTGCCGTATCTGTATAATCACAAAGTGTAGGTGCTGGTCAGTAAAACCCTTTTCTCCACCATGTTCAGCTTGATGAGTTTCAATATGGTCTTACATTCAATAATGTTCTGTCTCTAGCATTAGCACTTCCTGGAAGAAACAGATTTATGAATCATATTCATCTACAACCCAGAGAATTATACACAAAGTTCGCTGGATGACACTAGGAAAATGCAGCAGCATGCCATATGAAACGGTAGGATAATTTAACATGAAACGCTGTGGATGTAGATGTAACATTAATGTTCCTTTCAGTCGGATATTTTTTGTGTTGCTATCAGTCAGTTCCAGGATTAATGTGGGCAGCCAGCCATAAATCATCTCTAAATGTTCGCTGCAGAGATCTGACTGTTTTAATGTTATCCTACAATTTAGTGTCACTTCTCAAGCTGAACCCAGTGAAGAGGAGTTTAGTACAAATGTGAGTGGGTCCAACTTCTGCAAAGCAGAGGAACAATGTGTGAATAAAACTTGGATGGGAACAACACGAGTAACCGTGGTAATTGTACACAACCAGGATCAAAAAGATATAGCATACAGTAAATATTAAAACAGATGAAAACTAGAATAAAATGTATTGTTTTTATTGGCTAAAACTAAGAAAAATCAAGACTCAAATTTGACTAAAACTAATATGCATTTATTTCAAAGGTCTAAGACTAAAACAAAATCAACTTCAGGTGTCAAAATTAACACTGGACTAACCAGTGATTTTATTCACTGGAAATATAAACAGTAATGTAATTGGTAGTTGCCCTGCGGTTGTGTAGGAGCTTCCCTGGGCTTCCCCTTCCTCAGCATAGAGTCAAAATTAAGATCTGTCAGAGCAGCTATTTTTCCAAAGGTGGGCCTGTCTCTTGCAATCTCTTCTCTCCCCACACATTCTCCCGCATTGGCTGATTCATCACTCATGCGGATAAAATCGTCACCATCGCCACCATGCCTCACCAAGATTGTGCTTCTTGAATCAATATGTGGTTGTGATCAGATGTGTGTCATACATATTTTTTTATGATGAGTCTGGAGGAGTAGCGTTCCATCTTTTCATGAACTAAAGTGCATTAAATGACAGCCACAGGCCTATAACTGTTCATTATTGCAGTTTATATCCAAATTTGCATTAAATTATACAACATACTTTGATGACCATCATTTTGACCACAAGTATCTGAAATTTCAAAATGTACCATGTAAGATAATATGCCTTATAATACACAAATATTAAAATGCACACAAACAGAAAATAAGATAAAAACTGTAGAGACTGGAGCTTTTTAAAAAAAAAAATCCTTGTTCTTGAACAAGGTGTACTGTGAGTTTACAAAGTTCTCTCTTGAAATGCCGTCACTGTCTTTTGTTGGAATTTGGAGTCATTGTTCTGACAAATACTCGTGTCTTTTTAGTCTGCATTTAGCATAAACAAATATATGAATGTTTAATCTCTATGATCCATTCCCAGATGTTATGAGGTGCCAAGAGGTTATAGGGTGTAATTTTAGAGAGCACAGTTGTCAGAGATGTAAAGGTCTATGTTGTATGACTTATACAACCTGGTGATTGTCAGTCACCGAGTAAAGCTAGAGCTACAACCAGAAATTATGGTATTGTTTCCGAATTCATCATTCACACCAGCTGCATTCTGACCAGTCTACTCACCTATTTCTGACACTTAAAGGTAGGGTGGTGATTCTTTCCAGAAGCATTTTCTTGTTACATTTCTTGATTTTCTCTTTTCATCCTGATAGTAATGAATACATTAAATGTACTTGACAACACAGAGAAAAAATATCTGTCATCTATGGCAGGGCTGAAAAAAAGCCTGACCAGAAATTTTACTCATCCCAAGCAAAACCACTGAATGACCTACCTGCCTGTCAACCTAACTTCCTACTTGCCCTTGCACTCAATGCACAAGCCAAGAGTCTCCCACAAGGCGTTGCATTTGCAAGAAGATGTGTTACCACTCTGTTTCACAGCTAAAGTTAGCGAGTTATGACCACTTCGCCATGGGGGACTGTGGTTCAGTGGGTGGTTCAAACCCTCAATTTGCCCCCGAGGGTTAGAGCCATCGGTTGAGTTAGCGCCGCAGATGGCTGCCTCAGTTCTATACCAGAAATAAATTCCTTGTGTGTAACATACTTGGCCAAATAAAGGTGATTATCCTTATGGCAGAGAAGGTGCCCATAGCAGCTTTTGTTCACAAACAGAGACCACTGTTATAGGCCAGGCCTTCCCCCTTAAGACATATAGCCTTATAGGTAATGTTATGAAGACATCTTAAATTGCTGGCTGGACCGCGGTAGAACCATGCCTAACCTGTGACAGGTTTGTGCACGGCCCCTGCTCTTGCTGTGTATCTTCCACGATGACACGGTGATCGCAGCTCCACCTTGTTAACACCCCAAAGCACCGTGTGTGCAAGCCACCCGCAGTGTTGTATATATCCGTGAGATGGAGCAATGTTTGTTGTAGTTGGGCAGTGGCTGCCTGCAGATTAATCAGTGTCCATGTCTGTTACAGTAATAGATACTATTTCATTAAGCTTACATGTTCAGACCTTATACGCCTTTTGAGGCATCGTACCGCTGGCAGTTATTGCATTATGTCTACATTTTTTCATTGTTTAATCAAGGTTGTCAACTCCACGCTACAGAAAGAAGACAGTTGCTTCCAGGCTCTGTTACTTTTTTAGGCTCCCCAAAATTGTACCTCTGACTTTTTCTGCCGGCCTTGGGCAAAAACACACAAGCTCCCTTCTAAAGATTACATTCCTATATAGCCTATATAACTAAACTGCAAATGCTGATAGTTTTGTAGTGAATGTATTTGGTTATTAGATTGGATACCGATGCCATATAACATTAATCTTTGAGGGTATGAAGCGCTGCATTTTCCTACACTACAGCAGCAGAAAAAGGTGGAGAAGGAAGTATGATGGAAGCGCAATGGGCAGTGTTGTCACATTAGTGGCTCGGGTTT